ACGTGAACGTAAGAGAGTTATGGTGTGAACATGTTCCCACAGTGTCACGTTGGTAAGTACCAGAAAATATTGGCGTCTTTAAAATCCCAGGAGAAATGCGCGGAACAGGAAAACAGAGGAAGAACTGTTACTACAGTTTATCAAGTGTCTTGCTCTTCTTGTTTGCCTGGCTACTAGCAACTGGTCCTAGTTGTTTTTTTGTTGATGCCACTAGCTTGCCTTTCAAATTTAGGTGACCAAAGTGGAATAAAAGAATCTCTGCCCATAGGTGATGGGGTACACTTGCCTGGCAGTGGATTTCAAAACTTTAGCAAAAGTTAAAGTTAAGTTACTGTTTTCACAAAAAATCTGCAAATAGTAAGGTAACTCCCAGTAAAAAGTTCTGCTGTTCAGAAGCTCAAGTTATCGATAGGTGCACAAAAGAATATTAAGTTACACTACAGAGGTACTGTTCACATTCCTAAGAAATTATATACATCTGGATTGAGAGCAAAAACTATCAAAATAACACACACTGCATTGGAAAAGGATGGTTTAGTAGGCTGAAGAGTTTTGTTGACCCTTAATAGGTCAAATGGTATTTACATATGTTTTAGGCAACATTTATAAATACCACTAGAATTTCTTTCATAATTCTATAATAAAAATCATGCAGAAGAGTAGTAATGTTCCAAATGGAGTTTCCAGTGTTTTAATCGAAAATGTTTAGTAATAATACGTCTGAAAAGTTTGATCTCTGTGTATCTTGGTCTCAGTAGAACTCCCTTAGAAACTGAAGAGCGGGTTTTCCTTTTGCGGTATGACCTGCAGATGGAATGCAAAATATTCCTAAAATACTCCATTTATGTGTAGGCTAGGTAGAGTATTCTGATTTTATAGCATTTCAGACACATTTCTCACAAATGCAAGACAGGTAAAATAGAAGGCAGTGGAGAATCATTACACATGTGAGTAAGTGGACTATTTGGGGAATGCACAGGTTGAGGCAGAGAAGCAAAAAGTGTTGGCTCTGAAAATCAATTTTCTCTGGAATTTTTTTGTATAACTTTCCAATGAGATAAATAGCAGATGGTTTAGCACACAGCAGAAAAAATAAATGTCAAAATAGCAAATAATAGTATCTGCTGTTCTTACAGAGGGAATCTAGTTTGGTGTTTTACTGAGCATACCAAAATATCCAGGACTACAAAAGCTGGCAATCTATGTACATGCAAGTAGGAATTGAAAATACTCACTTTTCTCTTTGGGAGGATAAGTTTTGAAATAACTGCTTGAATAATAAGTCTTCTGCTAAAAACATTCTGGTTTATAGGCCTTGCTTATAAGTGCCTCTTAGTATAGAAGTAGCAGTCTGATATATTTAGCAAACAGTATGTCAGATGATGCGTCTTTGAACTAAAACCAGCAGTCTCCAGTAAAGAAATGGAAAAAACACAGGCAGGTTCCTATGGGGTAGTTCACTGGGAGGTAGAGTTGACATCATTTATTTCCTATACTCAGGAAATAACTGTATCAATAGCTCCTGTTGTGAAATGTTTGTGGTGTCCGAGTTGGCTTCTAATACCAGATCACATGAGCAAGTCAGATGTAATCTCAGACATTGTCAATGAGAAAAAAGAATCAATTATGGGATAGTGGCTGCTTGCTTGAAGAGAAGTGTTCTTGTCAGTATTCTTTCTGTAGAAGACTCGATGTGCTACAAACTATCTACAGTTATCTATGGGTTTTCAGATACCGAACCAGAGCAGATAACCATACCTAACTGTTGTGAATTTCAGGTTATCATTCCAAATGAATAAATACCTCTTATTTTAAGCCAAATAAGTGTAATAAACAAAAACTAGGATTTTAAGATTTAAGGGCACAAAACAACGTGTTTAGATTTACAGATGCTGTAAGTGACCAGATAATCAAAATAATATACATCTACATTTCTATCACAGTTATACTGATGAATTCATTTCTTGACATCCGTGGCATATATAAGCATCAGAGGTGTTTTTTGTAAATCAGAGTTTTGATTTTTCTGAAATCTGTGCATGGGAAATTCTGAGTCGTTAAACTGTATTAGAAGTTTTGGTCATTTGCATAGACAATACCTTCCTGATAGAAACAGTGGCCATGCCACAAGGTACAAATTTTACTTCCAGGCTTCATCCATAACGTACCAAATTATGATCTTTTTCAAAGCACATTGTGTTTGCCTTCACAGTAGGGTTGTCACTGGTTTTTGTATCCTTTGATTTGCAGTGAAGTAGTTGGTGGATTTGTGATAAAGTGTCCAAAGTGTGACTAGATTAGCTAGAGCGAGGCTGTATGTCCCATGTTCCTTCCTCAGTGATAAAGACCCTATTTTCAAGACAGGATTACTTCTGAATAGCTTGGGTGAGAGAACCAATGTGTTCTAAATGGCCATTGCTGTGTGCTTAGTGAATATGGGTCAAACCTTTCTTTCACCATTTGGATCAAACCCATCTTAATCAATATATTGGCATTTTTAATGTAAACTATTTGAGGGTGAAGGTCATAATAAACATTTTCAAGCTTAACGTTTAAGTTTGGAGCAGTAGATGGAATGTTTAGAAGGTACTCTTAACTTAGTAGAGCACTGCAGTGTGGTACTATTTTAAACCATCTTATAAAATATCTGTAGTTGGTCATTTTCTTTAAGGTGTATTTGGATTCCACAAGTTGAAATAAAAAGGTCTTTAATAAATATGCAGATTGTTTTACTGTAGTGATTGGTAAGTGTCAGTAGGACAACTATTTCTTCATGACTGGAAGCCAGAAATGGGCAGCAGTAGTTGAAAACACTACTCGGAGACAGAAAAAAGGAACAAACCTCATTATATGGTACAGATCTGAATCTGAACAAAACAAAAAAAGTCGTCTGGTTAAGTCAGAGATTTTCTCCAGATCCATACTGTCAAATTAATCAACTTTTTCAGTCTCTTTCTCACTCATATTTTGCATCTTTTATCTCAGTTAAACCAGTATATTCATGCGGTAACAGCCTGGCTAATCTAAACATTTCTTGTCAGCATTAAACCTCATTATCATACATTTGCAGTTATTCAATGGTATTTACTATTGCAATTAAATCTTATTATTTGGTAGATATTAAGAACACACTGCCAAATTATAAAGTGTGAACACTATAAATGTAAGCTATAAGTGAATAAAAAATGTTCTATTACTGTACTTGTTTTACCCACTGGATTTATAAATTCACTTACTTTAAATTCAGTTACTTATACATTTTCAGTAATTTCAATGTAAGTGTAAACTTTTTATCTAACAAAATTTCATCAGTATTTAAAAAATAATAGTCTGTTTGCATACTGTTATACATACTATTGTTTACAAAATTGTGTTGCTTGTGCATTCAGTTGTTTATAAAGCCTTATCCTGTAACTGAAACTTTATTGCATGGGATCTCTGATCCCTCTTTTAAATATCAGCGTAATAAGGGGATCAAATGCAATTGTGTTGAGAAGTCAGTGTCGTAATTACAAACAGCCCTGAAAACAAAGTCCTCAGTACCTACAGAACTACAGCACTTCAGCCTTCCCCAAATACCCGAGCCGCGCGCCTGGGGAGTTCCTCAAGGGTTCGGCGTGAGCCTGAGCGGATGCACCCACACCTGCTGGCACAACAGAAAGCTGGGCTGTGGACCCAGTGACAGGCACGGGGTGGGCGACAGGACTATGCGGTGCATGAGGAATTGGCTGGATGGTTGCAGCCAGAGGGTAGTGGTCAACGGCTCAATGTCCAGATGGAGATCGGTGACAAGTGGTGTCCCTCAGGGGTTTGTATTTGGACGAGTGCTGTTTAATACCTTCATCAACAACATAGACAGCAGGACCGAGTGCACTCTTGGCAAGTTTGCAGGTGACACCAAGCTGAGTGGTACGGTCGACACCTGAGGGACAGGGTGCCATCCAGAGGGACCTGGACAAGCTCGAGAAGTGGGCCTGTGTGAACCTCATGAGGGCGGGGTCCTGCACCTGGGTCGGGTCACCCCCCGGTATCAATACAGGCTGGGCGATGAGGGGATTGAGAGCAGCCCTGCCGAGAAGGTAACCGAGGGGTGCTGGTAGGTGAGAAGCTGGACATGAGCCGTGAGTGTGCGCTCGCAGCCCAGAAGGCAAACCATGTCCTGGGCTGCATCAAGAGAATCGTGGCCACCAGCTTGAGGGAGGGGATTCTGCGCATTTGCTCTGGTGAGACCCCCTGGGAGTCCTCTGTCCAGCTCTGGAGCCCTCAGCACAGGACAGACATGGACCTGTTGGAGCGGGGCCAGAGGAGGCCACAAAAATGATCCAAGGGCTGGAACACCTCTCCTGTGAGGACAGGTTGAGAGAGTTGCGGCTGTTGAGCCTGGAGAAGAGAAGGCTGCGGGCAGACCTTAGAGCAGCCTTCCAGTACTTAAAGGGCACTTAAGAGACAGATGGGGACAGACTTTTTAGCAGGGTATGTTGTGGTAGGATAAGAGGTAATGGTTTTAAACTAAAAGAGGGTAGATTTAGACTAGATATAAGGAAGATTATTTTTACGATGAGGGTGGTGCGGCACTGGCACAGGTTGTCCAGAGAGGGGGTAGATGCCCTATCCCTGGAAACATTAAAGGCCAGGTTGGACGGGGCTCTGAGCAGCCTGCTCTAGTTGAAGATGTCCCTGCTCACTGCAGGGGGGTTGGCCTTCAAAGGTCCCCTCCAACCCAAACTATTCTATGATTCTGTGCGGGGACAGAGAAGATCCTCTGCCTCCTGCTGAGGAGCTACTGGTGTTGCTGCATCCTTGATCTGTACATAGATTACCTTCAGTATTTTTAAATTGAGTGAACCTAAGATGACTTCAACCTGAAATGCTATGACAAAATTTTACTCATTCTTAAAAGTGTAAAAATAAATAAATTAAAAATATATATAAATGTATAACTATAAATCTGTAACTGAAATGGATGAAAATGCCTTCTAAATATATTTTTTTTCTTGTAGATGACAGTCATGTCCCATTCAAAGGATCTCAAGGACGACTTCCACAGTGACACTGTACTTGCCATTTTAAATGAACAGCGCATTCGGGGTATTTTATGTGATGTCACCATAATTGTGGAAGATACCAAATTTAAAGCCCATAGTAATGTGCTGGCAGCTTCAAGCCTTTACTTTAAAAACATTTTTTGGAGTCGTACTATCTGTATTTCAGGTCATGTACTTGAGTTAGATGATCTCAAAGCTGAGGTGTTTACAGAAATACTGAATTACATCTACAGTTCCACAGTAGTTGTTAAGAGGCAGGAGACTGTAACGGACCTTGCTGCTGCAGGGAAAAAACTGGGAATATCATTTCTAGAAGATCTCACAGATGTTAATTTTTCAAGTTCCCCCTCCCCATATGCATACTGCATTAATGAAAAAGGGACTGTCAAAGAGGAAAAACATGAAAAGAGACATGAGGACTCTGCTGTGACAAATGGACCACGAATTACAAATGCATTCTCTATTTTTGAAACGGAAACCAGTTTGTTTTCTCCACTTGATTTGAGGGCAAACTTTAAAAAGGCATCTGAGACAATACAAGCTCCCAGTGTCAACCTCGACAGAAGCGAAGTTTGCAAAGACGCTGAGCCAGCCAGTACACTGGCCGAACACTCCTATGCAGTGTCCTCTGGGGGAGATACTTTTCAAGGAACCCCTTTTCCTGAACACGACAGCAGCCCTTCATACACGGTAGGCGAAGACCACTATGAAAATCTCCAAGCCACACCACTCATCCAGCCGGGAAAACAAGCATGTAGTACCCCTAAAACAGCCTTTAAGCCGCAGGGTACGGGGGTGGCTATAGCAAAAGTACCGGCCTCTGCAGGAACCACTACAGAAGCCCAACACGAAGCAGTTACTGATCAGACAATTATTTCCTTTCCAAAACCTCAGAATAAAACAGGAGATTTCCATTTACCCAGAGAAGAGGAGAACAATTCTGCTAATGCCTCTGGATCCGTGGCAACCGTTGTTCCACCTGTTTACGACTGTCACTGTTGTGCAAAGTCATTCAGTGACAGGGCGTTACTCAGTACTCATCTTCAGCTCCATTCAGAGCGTCAGGAAACCTTTGTATGCAAATACTGCAGCAAACAATTTGCAAATCGAAACATACTGGAGAGTCATGAACAAGTCTGTCTGAGATCAACTAGCTTATCGGTTCACAATGGAAATGAGCAAAATTTTGCAGATAACTATACTGCTACGGATGGAAGGAATGGAAGTTCATATGCAAATGCAGAGCCTCTATTGTCTGAAAACAGCATCACTGATTATTCTAATGCAAACTGCACTTTGCCAGAAACAGATCATTTGGTTAAAGTCGTTGATGGGCAGATACTGTATACTTGCATCGTTTGCAAGCGTAGTTACGTAACATTGTCTAGCCTTCGAAGGCATGCAAATGTGCATTCATGGAGACGAACATACCCTTGTCACTACTGCAATAAAGTGTTCGCACTAGCTGAGTATCGCACCAGACATGAGATCTGGCACACTGGAGAAAGACGGTATCAGTGCATTTTCTGTCTGGAGACTTTTATGACTTACTATATACTAAAGAATCATCAGAAGTCTTTCCATGCAATTGACCATCGTCTCTCAGTGAATAAAAAGACAGCCAATGGAGGCTTAAAACCGAGTATGTACCCATACAAACTTTATCGACTTTTACCTATGAAATGCAGGCGACTACCTTATAAGTCCTACCGAAATTCTTCATATGAAAATGTTCAAACAAGTGGCCAGGTTAACGAAACTGCTTCTACTAACTGTTTCATTCCGAGTTCTCTTAGCTCTGAGCTACCACCACTGAATTTTCAAAGTAATATAATAGCAAACAACAGAAATCTTGCCTTGGACGTATCTTCATGTAATGATACAGCACCTTCCACGAATACTCAGAATTCTTCCTCCTGGGGAGTAGGTATCTTAAATTCTGACCTGCAAAGGGACTTTTTCACAGCTGAAAAAACAGTTTCCACTGCTGCAGATGACTCTGGTTCTCAGGAGCGTGATTCCTCGGTTGTGGCTTTAACTACTGTGAATGAAAACTCAACCTCTGTCATAAGTTACAGCAGTTCTGCACCCTCTGTTATAATGCACAGTAGCAGAGTTTCATCAGTAATAATGCACAGTAAAACAATCACTTCTGTACAAAACAGTAAGACAGAATCTTCACATAATCTACCTAGTCAGTCTGTAAGTGATGATTGTAAATATGGCTCAGATAATTATGCAAAGTGCATTACAAAATCAAAAACTATTAAGGAGAAAAAGAAAACACTGCTGTACAACAGAGCAGAAGCAGCTGAGGATACGCAGCACGTCACAGGACCTGGAGGTTCATCTAGCAAAACAACAAATACTGTCCAAGAATCGAGTAAAACTGAAACGTACATTGCAAAGCCTGCCCTACCTGGAACATCTGCTGACAGCAATGTTGCGCCTCTTTGTCAAATAACAGTAAGAATTGGTAACGAGGCTATTGTAAAAAGACATATATTAGGTTCTAAGCTGTTTTGTAAAAGGGGACGAAAATCTAGACACGAGTCCAAACAGGACAATCCAACTGAGGAGTCAGAAATGGAGATAAAAGACAGAAGCCCCTCTAGGCTCTACAGCTCAGAATGCCTGGAGCTGACAGAAATGTGTGATGACGTAAGTGACCAGGACTCCAGCGATAAACCCTGGAGACCCTATTATAATTACAAACCCAAAAAGAAATCCAAACAGCTAAGAAAAATGAAAAAGACCAAATGGAGGAAAAAGCACGGAAGCAAGAACACCTTTATGGAAAGCCACAACACATGCAGTCGAGAGTATGCGCTCAGGAATGCTCCTGAGGAGAAGGCGATCAGTCAAGAAGAGAACACAGAAATGCCTAATCTTCATTGTGAGCTCTGTGAAAGAGATCAGTCTTCCACTGCAGAAATTCAAGAACACGTACACTGGCATGTAGCTACTTCAAAGCCTTACATTTGTGAATTATGCCAAAAACAATTTCCAAGTCCGTCCACTTTAAAAATGCATATGAGGTGTCACACTGGGGAAAAGCCCTACACTTGCAAAACCTGTGGTAAATGTTTCTCAGTTCCTGGCAATCTACAGAAACACGAACGTATTCACCTGGGTGTCAAAGACTTTGTCTGCCAATACTGTAATAAGGCGTTCACTTTAAATGAAACACTCAAAATCCATGAAAGAATTCATACTGGAGAAAAACGCTACCACTGTCAGTTCTGCTTTCAGAGCTTCCTGTATCTTTCTACCAAAAGGAACCATGAGCAAAGGCATGTACGTGAGCATAATGGAGAAGGATACGCTTGCCTTCAGTGCCCCAAAATTTGCAAGACAGCGGCTGCTCTGGGAATGCACCAGAAGAAACATCTGTTCAAAAGTCCAAGTCTGAAAGATAGGAGGGAACAGTTTTGCAGTGAAAGCACTAAACTTTTGGAAAATCCACATTTCCTTGGCTCAGAAGGAAGCGAAGTAAAAAATACACAACATGCAACTCCAGAAGTTATACTCTGAGTGACAGTTGTGCAAAAGAGAAGAAAAATCCCAACATATACTGGAGAAAATATAGATGCATTGAACGGGGCAACGTCTCCACTCAAATTAGTATCATTTACTACGATCAAATTTCTTCTTCGAAACATGTCAATATATGCAAAAGAAGGAAAAAAAACACAGTAAAGAAAAACTAATATTTGCAATAATCTGAACTTAATATGAAAGACCCAAAATACTTTTGCCACAATAGACTTGTAACAGAGAGAGAGAAAGAAAAAAGAAAAAAATATGACCAACCAAAACCCTTCTACTTAGCATTACAGGAAACCAGTCACTGAACTATCTTACAGTGCTGTTTTTGAGTCAGAATCATTCTGGGCAAAATAAGTGTGTAGGTTCACAGTGTACTCTGTAGAAGGACGTTTTGCTGCAGGAACCATATATTGCATTTTTTAACAAAAAGCTTCGTGTTTATAAACAAAATAATTGTAATTTAGTGTATTCTAAAGTGAAGGTGGGAAATGTTTCATGAACTTGGGTATGCTGAAGTACAGTTGAGTTTTGGCGTGCTTTTCTGTAGCTCAACATTTACAAAACATATTCAGGAGTTTAAACTTCTTTTCCTTTCCGTATTCAGTTTTGTAGTTACCATAATAACCGTGAAGTCTGAGTGCTTGTGTGGAAAGTATTCCAGATTTATGATATCTCTAGGACATTATTAATAAAGATTCAGTGGAACTCACAATAGCCAGTCTTCCAAACTGCATAAATCCCAATGTCAGTGGCTTGGTAGAGCTATATTCAGGTGCATTTATACAAAGAAAATTGTTCTCATGAGACAGCCTAGCTTAAAGAAGTCCTGTATTTAAACGTCCACCTCCTGGTGGGTCTGCAACTCCCGTCTTCTAGAAATATCATCCTTCTCAGCAGAAGAGGAGATTTAGACAGAGTCTTCCTTCTCATCCTGGAATAATGCCTGGAAAACAAACGACAGAGCAACTCCCCTTTAATACTTTGATTTTGGGAGGAGTAGGTAAATACTCAGATTCTTGCTTCCATATATATCCCCTAGGCAATCCATATATAAACAGGGGTAGGGCCAGTGTGGGGGGTTCCCGGTCATCCCCATGCCTTAGATACAGCGTCTGACCTTCACATGTCCCTTCTCAGTGATCCCCCTAACCATGCCAGCATCTGGCCCCGGGCAGGCTTTGTCACAGCATCCCCTCGCCCAGCGCAGCGGGCCTGTAGTAGGGAAGTGCCGGGAGCGGGTTGCTGGAGGAAGAAGTGCCGCCCTTTCTGCATCCCTCATCCTGCCGCACCTAAGGGTTATGGTGAGCTTTATGGCGTCACAGTTTGCCAAGAATCGGGAGAACAGGCTTCTGAAAGACATCATTGAGATATTACAATATTATTTTGTGAAGATGTGATTAATTTTAACTGAGATAAAGAGATTAAAAAAAATTCAAAGAAGGTGTATGTCTACAAGTTGCATTTTATATGATAGGGCTCTGTTGTACTGTATCTGCATTTCCAGTTAGTCACGTACGTTCATCTCTGTGATGTGTTAAAAAATTAAGTCAGGACAAAGGTTAGTGATCTTCAGCTTCATTTGACGTACAAATATGGTACACAGTTTGTTTACTTTGTCTCTTGAATATTTTAAAAAAAACTATAGCTTGGGTACAATAAAACTACAATTGAAATTATAATACAGTATTGATTGAAGTAATAATATAGTTCACTTATTTATTCTATCATTGGTGAATGCTGTGAACCCCTTGAGAAATTCTGGTTTCATGGCAGCTTTGGTTCCATTAAGTAAGGATAATAGAAGAGTAAACACAGAAGAAAGTACACAAAGATATCTTCTAAGTGGACTTGTGTGATGAAAATTATAGACCAAAGCAAATAAGGTAGAATATTTATAAAGATAATTTTACACATATTTTATATAACTGTATAGTTCATAAGAAAAATATTGATAGCTTGTGTCAGGTTGGGGGGGTTTGTATATTTTGATAAAAACACAATGACTTTGTAACTCTGTATATTCTCTACAGTTTATAGCAAAGGAGTTTTAAGATGGCAATGTCATGTTTATAGTTCAATTGTGGCACTTTTACTACAAGTAAACACATTGCAGTAATGAGTCAAGTATTAATGACCAAATTAGAATTAAAGTAAGTGTAAGAGACGGTAAATACTATACGTTGTCAAAGACTGTAATTTGCTACATAATCGCATCTGTATTTTTGTTTAGAAGAAAATATTAAATGCAGATGTTAAGGATTGATAGAGTCTAATTTTATTTTTAGAAAGAGTGATTATAACTGGTTTTGCTTAATTAAAATAACATCTTCCTATTTTTCCGTAAGTCTCTCCATTTTTTAAATTATGTTAATACTTGCATAATCTATGAGATCCAGAGATACGCATCTTCTAATAGTTATTTCATTAGAAGATTAAGCAACACCATTACCAAACATTCCCTTCGTTAAGGTCAAAACAGTGAATCGAGAACATGCCAGAGCTCAAGGGAAGTGATGGTATCTCCTGGCATTGTACCATTAAGGGTGAACGCAAGGCTGAGGTGAACAGCATCGACCCGCTCAATATCTTAAAGGACTTGGAAGACAGGTGAACTGCGTTTAATGATTCGCAGCATCTTAAAACATATTTTCATGAGGACCCAAAACTTAAAAATTATTTTCTTTGCAATTCTGATAGTAACCTTGCAGTATAGATTGTGTATTTTTACACACTGTACTTCAAATCTTTTGGGACTACCATCAAGAAACATAGTTCAGAATGCAAATATCTAATTGCATAAGGAAATATGAAGATACATACAAAACAGAAGATTACGCATATTCAAAGTACTTCCCCCTTCAGCTAGGTGTCACTAGTCTGTAACTTGCATTAAAAATCAAGCTAAATTATTCAGGTCTTTTGGGGACAGTCCTCAGGAGAGATGCATAACAAAAAATTTAGAAGTTTGCTGCATGTAACAAATAGATTTTTCTCTATTTCAAATGCTAATTAAAAAGACAAGTGGATCATCCCAGAGTTTGTGCGTGTGAACGAAATGTTAGTCAATCCTCATTATTGACATGCAAAATCAGCAGAAGTATACTGAACGATACTGCTGTCTTCTGTGAAGTGGGATGACGTGACACAGCTGAACTACAGGCAGAAGCGTATGAAGTAAGCCGCTAAGTGCCATCATCACTTTTATTTGTTCTAAACTTCCTTAATATACCAGTTATCACTACAATTCAACATAAACAGATTATCTTGCAAGAGCAGAGAGATCCCTCTGCTTACATCCTCATTGTTAGAGGAAGGAATCTTTCCCCTAAGTTTGCAAGTTGGCACACCAGTGTTTATGTCCTGAACAGACCTACTTGTCGTACAGATGCTCCTGAAACGTCACTTGAAGAGAGGCCAAAAATGAATGCTACGCAATGGAAACAGTATGCTGAATATAGTACGTTAGATTAAAACAAGGCGCTTTTGAAAGAAAATAGTGTCAGGATTTAGAGAATGGCAAAATTAAAAGCTGCATTGATAATGCTGATAGGAGGTCTGTGCTTTGAAGAAAGAACTTTTGAGAGAGCATGGAAGAACGAGAGTCACACGATCTAACTCGTAAAACGTTGCAGCCCGCAGTTCAAGCATACATCATCGTCCTCGGAGCACTGCCCCGCTCCGTTGCTCAGATCAAAGCTCTGCCTGCGCCCGGGTTAGCCTCAGTTCAGCCGCCACTGGTCAGACAGGGCAGCCGACCTGCACAGCCAACCGGAGATAATCCAGTCCTCAATTTGTACTGTAGAGGAACCTCTTGTTTCTAACAGGTTACAATTCAGCCTATGCAGCCTCGTGTCTTTGTGCAGATTTGGGTTTTGCGTGCTTACAAATACACCTGTTACTGCTGTGAGGAAGCAGCTTATTCCCCCCCAGCCTGCCGCCTCTGAGCAGGAACCTGTCCTCCCCCAGCCACGGTGTGGGGCGTGAGGATGAGGAAGGGACCTCTCCGCTGCTGAAGGGGAGCAGGGGAGAAGCCAGGTGCAGAAGAAGCCACAAGCAGTGAGTCAGCGCTGCCTGACTCTCAGATCATACAGCTCCATGCCCCATCACGGTATTAATGCCAAGATTTGTGTAGGAGGAATAAAAAATGGTCAGAGCACCATGGCAGAGGACTTCAACTAGAGACAAATGAGAGACACTGGCCTGAAACTTTCCGAACTTCCCTTTGCTTTAAGGACAGACTGAGGGGGGCTTTCTAGGCCTGGGGAATCCTGGTCCTGTACCAGCTTGGCCCAGTGCACTCCCGCTGGTCTGGGATGCACCGGCCACTGAAGGCCTTCCCCAGGCTCCGTGCCTGCAGGGC